GAGTTCGAGAGGTTTCGAGTTAGGCAAGCAAGCATTTGTAATTTTGTATTGATGGGAAAGAGAAGAATTGCAGGAAATTATAATTGGTTACATTCTGGGCCTTAAATTGCTTCTTAAATGAGTTAACGGGATGCTGAACTTGGAGGAAAGGGTTCATTTTCCCAATAAGTTTTTCAATTATTTCAAAACATATAAAGTTGCATTTTTATCGCTTTCCTCTTTCCTTGAAAAAAAAAAGCCAGAGGGCTTCCAGAAATTTCGAGTTATGTAGATTTGAGGAGCAAAGCACTCCAGTTAAGGAGGTTTATAAGGAAAATCAGAGAGGGACTTTAAAAAATCGACGAAGGGGATCTCAAGTTATCAAGGGTAAACTACATCACGCATAAACAAAATTCACGAGTTTTTCAGCAACACAGCAAAAAAGAACCAAGGATGGCTTGAAATGACACCATCTTAGAGATATTCCCGCAGATCTTGAAGTAATTATCTCAGTTATTTCAACGCTGTACAATGATCATCAAAATATTAATTCCACGAACATACAACAATAAAAAATCAAATATTCCAAAATTCCAAAAGCTTGCTCAATTTATTTGCATATCTTATCTTAACAAGAATTTACACATGAAGTTCATCAAAGGGAAATGGGCTCGTTCAAATTACCAAGATGCAGGCCACTTCATTTCCGACAGATATTTGGTAATGCTGCGAAAGATAAGTTTGAATACAGTAATTCAATCATCGGGGCTTCTATCCATTTATCATGCATTACATCGACAGTACAGTACAGTACTTTGCCTACATCGTAATTTTTAAAATGAAGGAAATGAGGCACCCAATCAATTCTACAGTACTTTGAGCAACTTAATTTCCTTCTAATGGATACAATGCGGGCACAATCAATCGAAGGTAAAGTAGTTAAATATTTAAATTACAATCAGACTCATAAGTTACCTTTGCCACGTTTAAACTGGTGGAAATTGAAAAAAATTGTCCTGAAACACTGAGAATTACGTAATACATTTCCTATCGCTTTTTCAGATATTCCCAAAACGCTCAACATGCGTTTCTCCGTGCTTTTTAACGTCAAGAGCTTCCCCAGAAGTCCCGAAGTTTTTAGTAATCTAATTTCTACTTTCTGCACTGTTGCTTACTGTGCCCAGAGTCTTTTAAGACCTTTTGTCGAAAGTGTAGTTCAGGTGGGTTGAAAAAGATTTCCATTCGACCCCCGGAGCATTGTGATTTGAAATTCCTGCCGCTTTTGATGTCATAGATTTGATCTCAAACTTTCTAGTAACGAAATCGATGCATCTTGGGAAGTCAGAGAAATCAAGCCAATTCCAAGTCCTGAAGCTGGATTTTCGAAGACTACTTTCACTTGTCCATAGCTCAAGACCACTCTCCGCATTTCGCATTTAACTAATTCAAATAACAGAACAGGAAAGATGTGATAACGAGGATTTTCGTAAAAGCCTGAGATCCGACTACGAACATTCGCAGGATGCAAAATGATGTAATCGATCATTTCCAGAAAGTTTGCGATGACGAAATCAACATTTGAAGGTTTGAAACAGTTAAATTTTCCAATCAATCGTGAGCACCATGATAAATTTCAAGCAGCGCAGGGGCGTCTTTTGGCATTTTTACGGCCGTTTTACAGTATTTTCTGTAATTGGCCAATTATCTTAACTGATGCACTTGTGAATTCGCAGGAATATCTGTCTGTACTATGACAGATCATCCTCGAATTTTTAAAATAGTAAAAAAAAAAAAAGTTTCTAATATTATCCGCGGGAAAATGCGCCCAGTTGTCAACAAGGTAAACACGATTTCCCCTGCAAAATTGAACTCCGTTGAACCATCGCTAATCTAATCACCTAATCTCTCGATCCTAACGCGATTCCCGCGACGACGCAACGCAATCAACCATCAAGTAATCCCTCGAAGCAAACAGAATGATTTACGGCGCAGCAGACCATTCAGTCAAGGAAAAAAAAACCAAACAACACCCTCATTCATAATGAATTGGTTCCGAAATAAAGTCAGGATGTCGTCCGAAAATAATTACTCTCAATGGGCTGGACATTTCCGCATCATTCACCAATACAGTACGGAAGTCACCGTGCACAATTACGCGAATGACCACAGCGATTTCCCATAAGAGAACCTGTCACACGTGCAGAACAACATGGCGACCACTTTCTCACCTGCATATCTTCCCCTTGTTCAGCGACCGTCTCCACCAAACGGGTCAAAATATCCGATAGCATGCGAGTGTTCACAGGCACGCATAAAGCTCGGAAAACCTGAAGGAAAAAAAAAACGAATCAGCAGAGAATTGACCTTTTATTTTATTCTTGATTCAGGCAAACCTTGATAAGAAGCCGTCGTTTTTTTTAAACGCTTACGGCGATTTAACGGGGTTGGCGGTTTAAAGGGGGTTGTTGGTTTATCAAAAAAGGTACAGTATAATAATACGAAAATTGAGTATGACAGGAAAGACAATTATTGTTCCTACAGAAAATAACCCTGAGATGCGTAAATGTTGTCATCTTTGTTTCGGTTTTTTTTTTTCCAAGTGGAGACTTCTCAAGAAACTTGAATTTTGTTGGCGGGCTATCAACGACAAAATTAAACGGCAGGAGCACATTTGAGTATTCAATAATTTTGGCGGATGACGTTTTACCAGGGCTTCTAATGCTTTTATCATTAGGGAAGAATTGTTTTCCAAAAGAAATTCGGGAATTTGACAGCAATAGTAACACCCCGCTCGCAGATCATCAAGTGATCATTGCGCTGCATCTGCTCGGAAGTACTTTCGAATATGCGTTGGAAATGCTTCAGAATATTCAGTAAACGAAGATTTATTCGAAGTTCAAATGAATTTCAGGGGAACCACTTCAATAAGAACGACGTCAGACGCTTATTTTCAAGTCTGGCATCAATCCGGTACTTCTAAGCTCAAAAGACACGACTTGACAGATGTGCTGAGTCTCATAATGCAGCCCTTCGCAGTGATATTGGAAGTGGTATTCAATCCGACATTCTCAGAATGACGATGAGATAAATCTCAGATCCGGAATGAATTTATCTCAGATTTTGACCAAAGAGGAAAGCCTTGGGAAGTACTACACACGCAGGGCTTTTCAACCTTTTTGAATTGCATACCCCTTTTCATCCACTGAAACAGTTGCGTACCCCTGGTGACTTCAAATGTGGGTGTAAATGATATGATAACCCATATGTTCTGATGGAATATACAGTACTTGAAAAGCCTTTGAATTACCTTTTTATGCCATCAAATATTTTTATGGAATTATTAATCATCACAATTTCAAGTTCATTGAGACCTAAATTAAGTTGAAACAGTGAATGCTAGAAGGAGGTGTCAGGGGAGAATCTCATTTGTTGACAAGAGTACAAATTTATTGCAAGCTTTGGAGATTTCTATGAAGTATAAAAAAGCACATATGGAAGTTTAAGCTGAGCAGTCACAAATAAATTGTTGGGTTTCAAAGTTCTTGACATTTGTGTCTTCTGTGACTCATTTTTTGTAAAGAAAAAAAATTCCAGTAATGTTTGCTTAATCAACTGAGTATATCATTTATAATCTTGACTAGAATTTTCAAGTACATTTTTATGAAAATAATTTGTAAAGAAAGATTTTTTTAAATAATGCATATGCAAGGGTTTAACCTTATGCTGCATAATTTTTCCTTGTTTGTAGGACTTGTTAATCATCCTGCCAAGCATTTCAAAGCATTCTTTTGATGTTTTTGCACACATTTATCCATTAAATCATTCAACAAACCTAATTAATTTTATGAATGAGATTAAAACGTGTTGCTCCCTAAATGCTACGACAAAGTTACTCTTGATGCTAAATCTCAGAAATTCTAGATCCGGAAAACTAACCACGCATCATTGCATCATGATTAAAGTTAAATCGAAGCTATCTGAAGTCCTGGATACTTTAAAAAAAAGACTTTAAAAATGTTTACCTGCAAGGATCTCCCAGCAAAATGTCGCGAAGACGAGGACAGTGCCAAATGCAGGGCAATTTGGCTCCACCTCTCGTCCAGTCGAACGTGAGGCGGAGGCAGAGCACTCCGCAACGCCAGCGTAATTGACTTGACGAGCCACGAGAGTTGATCCGCACTTTTGATGTGCCATACTCTGCCGGTCACGTCCTCGTAGTTCCACATCGGCTGACCTAGCCTGTGTACACGCACCGGAAGTACAGCATTACACATCAAGTTACCTCTTTTCGAGATACGTTATATGAATATGATGTAATCTCGGTAGGGCTAATTGATACACGGTGATGCGAGTTGGGCACGCGTGGCATGAAGAATGATGATGATGATGAACCACTCCAAAGGGCTGCCATTGTGCCGTAGTCTGATCAGAATGAAGATGGTATTATTCCTGATGTAGAATGAAAACAAAAAGGGACAACAACCACAACATGCAGAGTCACGGTTTAAATCTTCTTTTTTTTTTTCAAGGCAAATCTGAATTATTCGGCTAAAAGTTTCAGGGATACCAAGTATCATTCTGTACAATCGGAAATGCATGAAGAACTTGAGATTAGTGGAAAACGATGGGGAGTACTGTATTGTAGTTCTGTGCTGAAGATCGCGAGTAAAAGGATTTGGTAAAAGTAGCAGCTGTTTCGTCATCAGGGACATTAAGGAATGGGCTCGGGAAAAACTTTCGCAGTTAAAATCCGATTACCCGAACTCTGATTACCCAGATTCCAAGCACCCAAGCAACCAGGCCGACACTTCAGTATCATCAAGAGGAAATGAGTTTAAAAAAAAGGAGTCCTGAACACAGCGTAAACTTTATCTTCAGGTAATTTTTTTTTTTTACCTACGACATAAATCATCATTAAAAGTGATTCTCCCAGAAATTTTCTGGAATGTTGATACGATTATTATTATTTCTTATCCTCACGCTGGAAAATGTTTATAAGATTTTTAAATTTTCAGCTTCTTAGTCAGAGCTCTACCACGCTTTTCGGGGGAAGGGCAAGTGGGCCACCAAGCAACGATCAAACTAATGCATTCCTGATGAATGCGTTATGTGGAATTTGCGTGTTCTAAAACGCGATTTTCCTTGAGGTTACAAATAAGCTCAAGCTACAAAATTAAATTACTTACACTGAGTTCCAAAAACTCATACTGCATACCGTATTATTCCTAGTTTTTTTCAAATAAATTTGTGGATCTAATAATGGTTAGGGTGGAATTTAAGTGATACTGACAAGTTTTTGCCATGAACTACTGTATCTGAATTTCAAAAATTGCAAAAATAAGAGGTGGCAAAATCACACCGTTCTGAAATTTCCCCAAATTTTGTTTTTAAAAAATTTTTAGGCCGAAACTTGCAAAAGTTGGAGCAATTTCGCGCCGAAAACTTTCGTTCATGAAAAAAATTCACTTCGTTACGTGAAACAATCCCCCCCCCCTTAAAATTTTCGTTATGCAGATTTCTCTTGTTTGAATCTCTCGTTAAGCGGGAACTCATTGTATCTTCTTAAAATGTCTCATTTGAGTCTGAGTACATATACTCAGCGTCTGAAATTTTTTTACGGCTATTCATCAGGTAGCCTTATTCTTGAATGATACCGAAAGAAGCTAGCTCTGCAAAAAAATCTCAAAATGGAGCATAGAAAAAAAGTAGAAAACAGAAAAAAAGACGTGACGAAGACTCGGAAAACTACACACAGAGGCGGCTCGTGGTGAAAAGCTGACGAAGAATATAGACATCAAATAAGACTCTCATCTACTCATAGAACGCTGCCCTTTTTCGCCACGGACTTGGAAAACGTCAACCCTGCACTCTGGTCATTCAGGAAAAAAAGAAGGAAAAAACCCTACAAACCGGGAAATTTCGTAAAAGAAGTTTCAAACGGTTGGTGGCGTGACGGTAGAGGAACCCCTGTACACAAACGCGGGAATTCAGGAACTTTACTGAAGCGTCACGCACGCAAACGTCCGGCATTCGAAGACTTCTTATGCAAACCAAGTTCATGATCCGTTGCTTTTAAAAGCCGGTTTTGTAACGGCATTTGAACAATTTCAACGTGAATTGCATCAGCACTGAAGCATAGACGGATTCTGCTGCAGTTTCTGATAATCATCGGACATACAAAGTATCCTTCACCGCGGGATTTCAATCGGTTCATTTTTGATAATCTAGAAACGCTAGAAAATCAGTTCTTCTCTGGCATACTCTAAATGTAAAATAAACATCTTATTCATGATTTTCTTCTTCCTTTGCTTCAAGTTTTATCGGTTTAAGCCACTTCAGATTCTATTGATATCTACTGAGTACCACTCAGTCTTTCTACTCGAAAATTGAGAAGAAAAACCGAAGTGGATGCGCGTCATACTTGGGAGAATTGTAACAAGCTTTAAGGAAAACTTTCTATCATCTTTGAAAATTACTGTGCAGGAACGTGTCATCAAAGCTTTAGTGGGTTGATGGCGAATATTTCGTGAACCTTCAGGAAACTTTTTCGACCTACTTCCTTCAGTTAAGGAAGATTTAAGGCGAAAGAAATTTCTAACCCTACAAACCGGGAAATTTCGTAAAAGAAGTTTCAAACGGTTGGTGGCGTGACGGTAGAGGAACCCCTGTACACAAACGCGGGAATTCAGGAACTTTACTGAAGCGTCACGCACGCAAACGTCCTGCATTCCAAGACTTCTTATGCAAAACAAGTTCATGATTCGTTGCTTTTAAAAACCGGTTTTGTAACGGCATTTGAACAATTTCAACGTGAATTGCATCAGCACCGAAGCATAGACGGATTCTGCTGCAGTTTCTGATAATCATCGGACATACAAAGTATCCTTCACCGCGGGATTTCAATCGGTTCATTTTTGAAAATCTAGAAACGCTAGAAAATCAGTTCTTCTCTGGCATACTCTACATGTAAAATAAACATCTTATTCATGATTTTCTTCTTCCTTTGCTTTGAGTTTTATCGGTTTAAGCCACTTCAGATTCTATTGATATCTACTGAGTACCACTCAGTCTTTCTACTCGAAAATTGAGAAGAAGAAAAACCGAAGTGGATGCGCGTCATACTTGGGAGAATTGTAACAAGCTTTAAGGAAAACTTTCTATCATCTTTAAAAATTACTGTGCAGGAACGTGTCATCAAAGCTTTAGTGGGTTGATGGCGAATATTTCGTGAACCTTCAGGAAACTTTTTCGACCTACTTCCTTCAGTTAAGGAAGATTTAAGGCGAAAGAAATTTCCAATCAGGAAATGAGAGCCACAGCTACTTTATCTTATGATGCTTTTAATCTCCAGAGTTCGAGCAATCGAGGTTCAAGAAATGCTTCTTCTTAAAAAAAACACGCCTATGTTTTATTCGAATTTATTTTAAAGAAGACAACTTTTTTGGGCCTTGATTTTTCTTCTTGAAAAAATCGACAAAAACATAGGCGTGATTATTTTTTAAGAATAAAAAATATTTGAACTTTGTTTGCTCGAACTCCTCGAAAAAAACATGGACAAAAACATCAGCGTAATTTTTTTTTTTTTGCAAGATCAAACGAAGAAGAGATGAGAGATGGTCAGACCTTGAGGATAAAAAGTAGATCAGCGCAGCAGTGAGCTCTGGCAGCGTCATTTGGGAAGCACAAGGTGCTTGATCGCCAGATGTGGAAGATGTCTGAAGGGCTCTAGACGGCGATGATGACGACCCCTGCGAGACGTCCAACACGTCGCCGTCGGGGGCCACAATCACTGGCGTCGGTCGTGATACGACCCCAGCCACAGGAGTATTCAATCCCGCACTGATCTGCGCTCCTTGAATTGGACAAGACCGTCCTTTCATTTCATCTGGAAATTGTAATGAGAAAAAAAAAATGGGTGAATTCCACATGATTTGTCGAGGATGCGGAGAGTCAATAGTATGTATCGTGCAATTAACTTCCGACAGAAACACATCGTGCAATTAACTTCCGACAGAAACATTTGTAATGAGAAAAAAAAAATGGGTGAATTCCACATGATTTGTCGAGGATGCGGAGAGTCAATAGTATGTATCGTGCAATTAACTTCCGACAGAAACACATCGTGCAATTAACTTCCGACAGAAACACATCGTGCAATTAACTTCCGACAGAAACAACAGTATGGTCCACCAGGATTTGCTCGGCAGACTGGTTGAATCAAGGCAAACGCGAATCACAGGGGTTTCCGTGTTCCATATGCAGATACACTATTCAATCGTAGAACCACAGACGAAACGGCCCAGAATATTTCAAATACTGTAGTAGGAAACCCCTCCAAAATGTTCGTCAATAACTTTTCGAATCGGAAAGATGAATTTACAAATATTTGAAAAGGGACAAGTCCTTCGAATGGATGAGATGAAATTCTTTATTGTGGCCATAGTAAACTTTTCGGCACTTCTTTCCCGAAATACTGTATACTGCAGTCGTAAAAGATTTCTCCCGTTCTACGAAGGGAAAATTATCGTCTCTGAATAGCCACAAAAAAAATTTCAATGTTACGACACGAGTAAAAAACAAATGATTTTATACTTGAATTTCATTCTCGCATCAAAAATATTCTTCTTTTCGTTTTATAAATCTTTAAAATTTGAAATCGGTCCAACATTTGCTAGAACTCCTGCAAAACTTCATCGATTCGCTGGTACAATTCGATTTGAATAATCCTCACACAGAAAACAATAATAACACGCATTGCCGTCAAATCGGAGATGAAATTTTACTTTCCTTAAAATATTCAGGAACTTAATCATCAGTGTTGAACAAAAGTTCACATATTTTAAATCACGGTACAATTCGAGTGTCTCTTCGAGCCAGAAGCACAGCTTGAAAAAATATACTGTATATACAAATGAAGATTCAGTGATTATATTCGAATTGTAAGAAACGCTGAATCACGATGTCCAAAATATTTACCTTTTTAATTCTTCACGAAAACTTGCCGAAGCGCATAGAGAATTCGAAGTTGTGCGCCAAAAACGATTCAAGAGATTTAAAAAAGATTTCCAAGTATACATCATAATATATTTACGATCCCGTCACAGATTACGCCGAAGCCAAATTTTGGGTCACGACACGTCAAGAACATTACGGTTGAAAAGATTTCAAAAAGCTTTTCGAGTGAAAAGCGTAAGATTTGATCCACCGAACGAATACAATCAAGTACTGTACTGTACTGTACTGTACCGAACTCTTCAAGAAAGTCATACATTATTTCACGAACCGAGTCCCTTTTCCCGGGCTTCTTTCTCAGAGAAAGCTCCGGGAAAAAAAGAACAAAACAATAAGCTGATGAAGCTTGGCTTTGAAGTTTCGTCGACAAGAACATACGAACGTTCCTACGGATCGTTGGATAGTACAACACATGAATAATACTCGCCAGTACGCATTAATCACGTAGAATCAGTGAACTCCTACTCATCACAGATAATCTTACACAGGCCTACGCGAGTCTGGATGACTTTGGCCTAGATATCGGATAAATATAGAGTGTCCAATATTCCGACCGAGTGAGTCTCACTTAACGCTTTTGAGTCACCAACATGATCTTCAATAAGGAAATGCAGTACAAGGGATGTTTCAAAACTGACAGTAATTTTCGAGGAAGAATATTAGCTCTCCAGGTCACTTCATCAAATTTCCAAAGGTGTCCAAGTGGTGTAATTTCTGCAGTACAAATACATTGGTTGATGCATCACCAGAGTACCTTCTTTTCTTTTGCCCAGCATTCCACATCTACAGAAATGATCTTCGAAAAGATTTGGACTCATAAAATTCAATGAAAATACTCTTTCCAAAATCTTAAGAGGTCCAAGATGCAGTAATCTGTTAACCTTATATGATTTCTCATCAAAGATTCTCTCCAAATTTTATGATCAACTAAGTCTTATCTGGGAGCAGGTTGAATACCTTGTGCTTTAATTTGGGTTTATTAATTGGTTTATGCTGCAATTCTTCCTATTGATATTTTGTTTTTCGTGAACAGGGAAGGGAAGAAAGTGTACGTATTTATATCAGTTGTGCGGTTTCACTTCTTGGGATGTATTTTCTTTTGTTGTAATATTCATGCACAGCTTGTTTCTCTGTTACACATTTTGATGCGAATGTTACACATTTTGATGTTTGGATGAATGTGGGTGGGGAGGGGAGGGGGTTCCGATGTGGGAACATTTCTTGAACCTTGTGAACGCTGAAAAGCAGAAAATAAAGCTTGCTGTTCAATTCAATCTTTCGTGAGGCCTTGAAAAAAGTCCTCCCTACATCTTTAAATTAATTCAACTAAAGGCAAAACAGACATTTTCCTTCTCACCAATTTAAATTTCAGCGCAATCTTCATATTCATGATCGCTAAAATAAAAATTTCCACGATAAAAAAAACTCATCATTGAGGATGATTGATAGAACTTGAACTACGTCACGGAGAAGATTATTTGAAATATTCATCAGCATTTTAACTGTTGGTAAAGTCATGAAACTGCAAATACGTAAATTGCACCACAGTCACTCACAGTCACGAAGTGCAAATTCAACTTTATTTTCTCTCCGCGTCAAAGCTGGCCGAAAAAAAGGAAACCGTCGCCAGGAATTCATCAAATGCTGATCATTCAAAAATACGGGTTCAGCTCATCAATTCAAAACTTTCTGAACAAGTGAAGCATATGAACCATGCTTATGCTGAACCAACCCTCAAAAGCTGCTCAAAAGCTGTGTTGAAAAACAGGTTTGACGATCAGTTCGCACAAACACGCCTACGTAAAGTGCCTAAGTCATACCAAAGTCAAACTTTTGAATATTTCAACTTCTAGAATAGACGAGTAAATATTTTTCTCGAAGAAATGCATATTGACTCATGCTATGAAGAATTTCTGTGATTTTTGATACAAAAATAAGAGCTGAAGAAAGAACAAGCAAATCTGAATTTCACATGCGCCCACGGGGAGTGTTCATTTCATTCTGGATGGTTGCTTTTCAAGTCATACTTGATAAAAATTGAAACGCAGCACTGATTTCAGTTGAATCATTCAATCCGTCGACCAAATACTTGTTCTGTTCGCGTTGATTTCTTAAAAAAAATCAAAACAAAACTTGCGATACGCGACTCAAAACTTAGTGCGAAGTTTTCCATCATCGCACACGTGACACTCATAACCGTCGGGGGAAAAACAGAGAATACCTCCAAAGACTAGAGAAGAGAAAAAAAACTTGCAAGAGCTTTTCCTAGAAAAGCACTTCCCAAAGCTATATCATGCAGGGATGCAGAATCGAAGCCCACTTTCCACGAAATTCGCTCAAGCCTCGCAAATTCTCATTAACACGAGCGAAAACTTCGAACAAGATTTTGATGATCAACAGCTCACAAGGCTATCGAAAAAACCTCCTGCCATTTGGTTTAAAAAAAATCAGGTCACAAAAATCTCAGAAATGAATTCGTTTATGAGTCTCATGTCAAGCGAAAACGAAAAGCGTTTCGTGTTTGAAAGCAAATTCTTTCAGAGAAATATCGAGGAGAGTAAAAGCAGCATCAAGAGACATTATGATAAGCAGTGCAGGATTCACCGAACTCAGAAGATGAATTTCAATACTCTCAATAAAGAAGGAATTGAAGGGAATCGCTCTTTTTTTCTCGTCAAAACAGATTGGATTTATTCAACAACAAAATGTTTTAATGCCCTTCTTTAATTTTCGGATAAATGTTCGTAAAAAAAAAGCACCGATATCGTGTAATATTTCGTAAATCCCTTCCACCATTCGTCACGTGACTGATTCGCAGGAAATGTTGATTCAACGTCAGAATAGTGCCATAAAATCAAACTTTTTTGAAGTTATTTTAAAAATAAAATACCCGCAGTCATATCAATGTCATGATAGATGAACAAAGAAAATTAGAGCTTCATTCAATTTCAACTCCGGTTACCGACAAGTAATGAAAAAATCAGGACTCTGAAGTCACGTTTGGAGTGTTTTGAAATGTGAAACGGTACTTCTCCAGTTCACCTTTTTCCCCCCATCATGCAAAATCAAGGGAGAAAAATCAACAAGCTTGTTGAATACCATCAACAAGCTCTCACTTCTCTCTCAAAATGCAATCACCGTGTTGAATCATCAGACACAGGCAATTATTTCGCAGGTAGATTAAAATACAGTTGAAAGACTTGCATCAGATGATTGACTTTCTCTTGTAGTTTTCCAGACTATACAGTTGAGCTAATTTTTCTTCGATGTCAAATCGTCGTCAAGTTACATCCGGAAAATAAACATCGCAGAAGGATCAACTTATCGCTTATATCCGACGGCAAAAATTGGCCTATGGACAATATACAGAAAAAAAGCCCAGGGCGCTGCCGTGTTTTTATTTTAATTTTTTATTAATTTTTTTGGCGACGCGATTTTTGCAACATGAAATCGTCAAATAATAGCCGATCAAAGAAAAGAGACTCCCAACAAAATTGTTTGAGGGACTTCCAAAAAATAAACCCACACTTTTTTCATTAAAAAAACAAAACGATCGTGAAGCACGCATTTTGTTACAAGAGGGGAGAGAGGGGAAATCTTCAGGAAACATGATCCAAACAGAATCCAGGGATGCAATTTGAATGGCCAATAGGCAAGGCGAACGAACCGACCCACAAAATTTCACGTGCTTCGGGCATAATTTTCGGTACTGCGATCAATCATGTCGACACACGTCGCCACTCCCTCGCCGGCATCAAGTACCGCATCCGTTTTCGTCGTAAGAACAGTACGATTACCACTGGAGCTGACAGAGCAATTGACAGGAGGGCCGAGAGATGACGGAGGCGTCGAAATCGCGCCAGCACACCCAACGCTGCCGGAAACCCACGGGTGACGACACACTTCTTTCAGAGTGATTCTCAGAGGGACATTTGGCTCGAGCATTCTGTCACAAAAAAAGTACTCGAGAAGTACGGGTGGGATTTCGAATTGCGCCACGGAATCAGGGTTTCACAGCGTCGTCACTACGTGTGCTTTACTAAACGGAAATAAACGACTCTGAAAGGTCGGGTAAGGGTGTTCATCTGCACATACTGTACATTAATTGCTGGATTGAG